AGTTCAGACGTGTGCTCTTCCGATCTGTATATATGCATAATTAACTTTTAATTTTAGACTAATTTTGGGTTTTGGACATTGGTAACTTGGAAACAAGTATTTCTTGATGTCAAAACAATTTGATCGAAATGACCTGATTTTCGATGTCAATTTCGATTCGATGAGTTTTCAATGACATCGACGTCGAAATGACGTCGATTCGACATCAGCCTTTTCACTGGGTCTATGCGTAATTGCAGACACGTGACCGTCACGTCTTAGGCTCTAACCTACAGACGGGCCACAGGCTCTAACCTGTGGGCGAGCTTTGTCTCAGACGAGAGCGAAAAAAGGTTTCTCTATGTGTGGAAACCAGTAACAACAAACAGTCAAATTATTAATCTCCTTTTAAAGGAGATCTTTATTTATATCTTTTTAAGTCTGCATGGGCATTCGAAGGAGTGTATATGGTGTGTATGTATATGTGTATTATATATATATATATATATATATATGTATGTATGTATATATATGGCGTGTATATTTATGTATACAACGACGGGAATTTTTTCCTGATGTTTGCTGTGGTTAATAGGGAACCATGATGCGAGTGTAAAGAGCCTTAGCAAAAAAGACCAGGCACGCTTTAGCGATGTAGAGTCAGATTATCAGGCTCGGAACCCATCGGATGACTCATCGGGTTCGTTGCTGGGCTCAGATGACTATCATAGTCGATCACCTACCCCGGAAGGGAATTGCGAGCCTATAGCAAAGGAAGTCGCGTCCGAGATGAGGCCACCGATTCTTTCGTCGAATTCTGGGCCATCAAGTCAAACGAGCCATACGGTGACAGACCAAGCAGAAATGGCTACGGAGGAACAACAGGTTGCAAAAGCAAATGAGGATATACCCTCAAGCGCCCAGAGCGTGGATACAGTTAAATCTAGTGAAGAGGCGCTTATAGAAAATTTGGAAGTGGAACTTCTGGAGGCCATTGGAAACCGAGTGGCTGCAGAAAGGGTACTGGCACCAGCCATTCCAAGAAGTGTTGCTGTCCGCTTGGAAGATATTTTAAAGAAAGGGCTGCCGAAGGAGGAAAGAGAAAGAGCCGTTAAGGATTGAATAGAGAGAATATGCACCTCCAAGAAATTGCATCCTAATCGATCCTCCTAAGCTCAATGAAGAGCTTAAGGCCACTTTAAATGAAACGGCGTTAAAACGTGATAAGCACATCATAGAAAAGCAAAAGAAAATAACTGCTTATCTCGCTTTGATGTGTAGTGCTATTGCAGATATAATTCATAGCAAAGATGATAACGGAGATCACAAATTATCGTCTTCCCAAATTGCCTTAATAAAGAAACTTAGCGAGGCGCGTTTAATGGCCGATGTACAGAGAGATGAGTCGTTGACTCGTAGAAGTACTACCCATACAGCACACTAATGTTGAATCAACATCTCAGAAACGTTGAGTTGCAAGATTGCAAATGTTGCAGCAACATCGTGAAATGTAGATTCAACGTTGAAAAGACATTGCAGAAATGTTCAATATCCCTTGAATCTATGTCTTAGAGACACTGCAATTCAATATTAATTCAACATTAATTCAACGTATAAGCAATGTAATAATTTAATCCGCACAGAATAATAATATTTATTATTCTTTATAGTTAGATATCTATTCGATTTTTATAAAACCAAAATAAAAACCATTATAAAAAAAAAATAATTTACGTTTACAGTGTTTCCAAGGAATCAATTCCTTCTAAATTAATATTCAGATCCAATGGTCACCCATCCAAGCCACGACCGCTGCCAACGTTGCTTAACTTCTGTGATCGAGAATTGCAGACACTTCATGATGATCCATGATTACTTGATGTTAATATCATGGATATATTCGTGATAGATCAAATTAATATAATTATCAAAAAAACATCTTTTAAAATATATCTTTTTA